GCCTGCCTGCCTAGAGTCTGCTTTACACTCGTTTTACACTTCAAGGTTTCTGCTACTGGCGTATCTCGATGGGTCGGTGGGAGAGGGGGGGTAGCAAATGAACTTTACAACTACTTCATCATGGTCTAAGTACAGAGTCGAAAACTGGTCTTGCATTGGCTTCCTTAATCAAAACAACTTCACCATTCAGGCACCATTAATGGTCCTAACAGCAACGTCGTGTATGCACATGCACAAATATATTCGATCAAGTTTGCTTCGAATATCGCAGCAGTGTCGAAAGCTGTATGCAGGAAGTAACAAGAAACGGTAATATGACTAAGAACACAAACAGGAGTCTGCGATGCCACTGCCTGAGTGAAGAACCGGGATATTGGGCAGGACACTTGTCAGAAGAACCCACCAACGCTGGATCAAATAAACACATCAAACTGGGTTCTAACATACAGTAAGCAATCCATAGCAGGACCTCCAGATCGATGACAGGATAAAGTGAAGAAATTCGCTACATTAATATAAATTAAGGTACCAGAAAACAGAAGTTCATGGCAAGATATTGGCGGAGCCTTCGTCTAGCATTGGATGGAAAATGGCTGATGACAGTGACGATAAAAACAACAGCCACATACACCTAAATATTGGGAGATATAAAAGTTTCGTGATATTAATCGTCATGCCGGAACTTGCTATAAAAATATCTTAATTACCCGCCGCGTTCGTCTTACGGTAGACTAACCTCTACAGACGCTTCACACTTAATGACTACAAACCAACTACGTACTGCGAAGGACATCTATACAGCCGAAAACCACTATCTTTACCGTATATAGTGAATATACGGTATCAAACGTCGGTATATATGTATAGTATAACAGCTAGTAACAGTAGCAACTTGTTAGGAAAAACGTTTTTAAAAATAATAGTGATAAGGTGTGATAATTAGCAATGAATGAAAAATGAGTACTAATAATGAGTAATCTTCAATGCCTTCGTTCAGCAGCTGATGAACTTATATTGCATATTACTTGCTGTTATTATGAGGTGACCTTAGAGTTTGCAGAGTGCAGCATCGAGACTAGTGTACAGCAGAGTACAGCGTCGAAACTAGTGCTTTATGCTAATAATCTTTTTATACTGCCCACGGGAAAACGTATCTTAACGCCGCGGAGACCGGAGTAAGGAAGGAATCGAGTCATGTGCGATACAAGCAGTGAATATTTTCCTCAGAAATGATTTAAAAAAGTACTTAAACTTTCGACCAATGAAGAGATAATACACGGATTGCGATCCTTTTCAACGAACGTTTTAGGCAAAAGCTACGTAGAGGAAGAATATGCTGACGAAAATGCAGACGGAACGACGGAGGACCCCGTCCACTTTAAGTTCAATCAGTTCGTCATGTTCTAAAGAAATTAGATTGAAATTTTTTCACCATGCCTTCTGTTTCTGAACGGAGGATAGCGATTTGTGGGACCTTACGAGACGCACGAAACCGGGACCGTATATGCCAGTGAGAACACTAAGATCACACCGTACAACTAAACTCAACATTTCGCCTTGAGTCAAACCCACATCATCGGATGATGCGTCCGTAGCTGCTACAGTAACAAGTTTCAAAATTTATGAACCATCCAAATCCAGGGAGAAGGGAAATAAAACAAGATGATGCTACATTTTGTCTCGACTTTGACATTTTAGTATGATGACGTCATGAGAGGGAAGTAAACGGAACCATTCAAACAGCGAAGTGAGGTATGGAGCATAGGACGAAAGAATGTGATGCAAGCAGTGCGTCAAGCCGTCTGCCATCTAGACATACAGTAGTATTCAGCATACATTTGTCTTAGTGCTGAACCACTTTGCTTTAGTTTACTCATGGCCTGAATCAAAAAAGATTCATTTGTGTTAGCATGCAAATTTTTAACATACTTCACAGCAGTAACTCGTCGATTAACGTTTTGAAATGGACAACAAATACTGCTAAGAGGGAGTATCAAAATGGAGCACTCTAAAAGGTTGCTTTACGCGATTGATTCAGATGTTGGACTAACTCCCGTCGAATCAACAACATCAGATTTTACGAAACTGACTAATTAACCAAATTTCTGCTACTCGTCAGAATAATATTTATTCATCTGTTGAATATGGGAACACGAAAACCGGCCTTTCCTACGGTTCCAGTGCACTGCAAAGCGGACAAGCTCAATGGTATGGATTTCAACGCTCAGCACTGGGATTTTTTTCATTGTAAAATTGAGTCATCCCGTTGGCGACCTGCTCTCTTTGCAGAGTTCCCCTTGCGGCTTTATCCCATTATTGACTCTTCTTGTGGCATCATCAACTAATCGTCGTCATCGACGTAACGCAATGAGACCTAATTTCAACTCAGCTCTAATAATTTGATTGCTGTTTTCTGCGAACTTCATCGTGCTTGAAGTACAGACCAGATTTTGGACAATGGTTCAAGTGTGATATCCTGAAATTCACCTGCACTAGACGGTCAAAAAGTACTTTATTCACGTACAACGTAGCATCAGACGATGGGAATCACGCTTTAACTCGACCTCGCAGCCATCTTCAGCTAAGCTGATTTGAATCAAGTTCAGAGGGCCAGTCAGTTTCAATCATTATACTTGGTTTACCCGAAGTACCGTTTCTAACGGCCAGACATCGTAAATCTCTGTTACTCTGCTCTTTAAGCTTCGTCAGTTTCAGAAGACGGTGACGAGGACAACTGAAACATGAAGGTTGGTTGGAATATTCGACTGAAATCTGGTCCCAACGATGTTACTTTATGCTGCATGCGAGTATTGATGTTTTTAACGGCCACTAGCTACTTCGAACTTTCGCCATTGATAACATATTTCATCAGCATAAGTTATTGCTGTTCAGCTGAAAGTGGACTCTCCTAAATAAATTACTATTAATATAGTTCTTTCGGCACAAAGCTACTTAAAATCAAAGTATTAGGTTGTTTATCTTCACGAGACGTTGTACAAAATCTGTTTCATTTGCATTCTCTTCTTACACTGTTGAGGCGGAAAATGCAATTGAAGAGGTAAATTTTCGACTCTGAGTCATAGCAGAAGGTATGGAACTATTTCTCATTTAAAAATACTTTTTATAACTTCATAAAACGCAGGGATAAGCCCCACAAGTCAACCAAGCACATAAAAGAACTTTTCTTTGCTAGCCATTGTTGATTTTACTACTTTTACATTCAAATATTGCTTCCAAAAAATTGAGGACTACCGAAGGTTCGAAGAAGGGACCCGGAATCTCTCCCGTCGTGCTCTTAACCCTAAGATTAGTGCGCGATGACTCGTCGAGAGAAAAACACATAGGATCCGGTCGAATCCTAGTGAACGATATCAGGAGATGAACAGAAGATATCAAGGCAATGTCAGAGACCTGGAAAATCCGTTTTAGTAACCATAACTCAAACTTTTGTCTCGTTTAATCAGTCTCTTCCATCTTAAG